GAGGCCAGCTGATATTGCTTAATTGGTGTTTCATCCTCGTCCAGGTCTATCAAATCGCCTTTGTTTGCCGGCGCTATTTCCTTATACGCCAGCAGACACGGGGCCGTTCTTAGTTTGCGCCACAACTCCTTGTCGCGATGAAGAGTGGATGATGCTTCGGCAAGGGATTTGAGAAGATCCATGTACCGCTCTGGGCTTTGCAGCACGCTGAGTAGCCTTGCAGGCTCAGTGCATGTCATATGTGCAACTTCAAGCTTCGTAGGCTCGCTCTTTGCTCCGCAGTGAAACAGGAATGAGTTCGCTTCCTGGCCAAAGTCGACAAAGTCAAAAATATCGCCATATGTTATGGACTTTCCCAGATATGCCCGAGATGGGCTGATGTAGGATATCTTCTCACTAGACGTCGTGGATGACCTAACCATGTTTGGCCTCGAGACTGGCACAATGGGAGCATTTCTGAGCTTAGCTAGGCTATTTTCGCGGACTTCGGCAATTCGAGAGGCAAAGTACCCAAACAAGGTTGTGGCCGACTGCTGGTCTTTAGGCGGACTGGTTAGGAGACGGTTGACGCAATCAACCATTGGCGGATCACGGGCAACACCGAATTTCTATGATTTGTCAACGTGCAATTTCGTGGAATGTGGGTAAGGGAGGATTCTTACATTTGCGTGGTCATGAAGGTCCCTTCTAAGGATGGGGAAACCAAGAACAGCAGCTCTCTCATTCGTAAAACATGCTGAAGGTGTTACAAGTTGTGTGCTGCCTTGCAGGGGGAGAATGGGCTTGCGGGCCTCGCTCATATCAAACACTCCGTACCGATTGATGTGGTGATTGGCAATAAAATACGTCATGGCCGAGTTGCGCAATGCATCATCTTTGGATGCCATCATTTCCACAAGTTCTGGTACGGAGGGAAACGCCCGCAACCCAAGCACAGTCAAGAACCTCGCCTCAGGACTGCTAGCACGAAAGCTACCAGGAGGGCCTGGCCACTGCAGAATGGGAAGTCTGAGAACACGAAGCGAGTCTTTGGGCTCAAAGAGCTCAGAGACTTTGTACAGTGACTTTGATGCCTCGGTTGATTCCATTCCTTTGGGGCCGGCTTCGGCAGGGCAGAATCTTGTTTCTGTCAATTTCTTGAGATCATCCGAAGGGATATCATTCTGTACTGAAGCCAGGTATTTGATAAGCTCCATATGACTCCATTTCTTCTGACTGCTGTCGCCAGAATGGGTCAGCAGTCGTGTAAAAATAGTTTCCAAATCTACCGTCTTTCGCACACCAACAGCTACCAAGAATTTATCCTTGACCTTTTCACATCCTTGAATGATGGGCAAGTCATCAAATAACTTTACAGATGGAAAGAATGATTCTCCGGGTCGTTTCAAACCCAGCTTGGTAGGAATTACCGCATGGCTTTGAACCAGCGAGGCCAAGGCCGTCCTGTCCTTGTTGGCGATTGTATCCCAGTTCTTGGCAAGAATAATCAACACCTGTACAGCAAACTTGGAAGATTTCGTCACACTCTCCTCGTCTGGTCTGTGGTTTGTCGTTTCTAGTAAGTAGCGGAACCAAGGCAGGACCTCTAGTGGTACCCAGCCCAGAGCCTGAAGTTCAGAATGGTGAGAGTTGGTCGTGAGAGAGAACGGGACAGTTGTTGGTGGTATTGGCATATGCGCCGGAATGATGCTTAGACTCAAGTAGTTTGTGATGCTGCCAAGTGCGACAATATCGCCTTGCGATTCTCCGTCACCCATCGTCGCAACAGCAACCTCGAGCAATGCGGCTCTACTGCCAGGGTCAAGTTCGCCGCTCAAACTCTTCTTTCCTGCCCAGGAAATAAATTTGATCATTTGAGATTTGCTCAGAGCCTTTGCTTCAAGCTCCTTCTTGACATCGGTAACCGTAATGTGAGATATGAGGCCAAAGTCTGTTAATTTCTTAACAAATGGGGAGCTCTTCATCTCTTCGAGGATAACAGGAATACTCTCCACAAAACCATTGAGCTCATCCGATCCGATGCGAACCTGTGTGGTTTGTAGCACACCTTGGCTGGAGAACATTTCGATGGACGCCTTGTTGAAACACGTCCAAAAGGCTTCTTCCATGATCTGACCGACTTGATTGCTAGGTGTCGAGTCACTGAATGTGAAGGTCTTCAGAGTGTGGAGGGCCTCTGGCATAAACTTGGAGATGATGGCGTCGGAAAATTTCTTGCCATGTTCGACAGCTGTTTGCATCCTGCGACTCAAGTCGTTCATTTCATTGGAAAATGCCAATCTGGTCACAATTCCAGCTGCTCGAAGGAGCTCCACGTTCCAGGTCCTAACCCATCTTGCGTTAAGATCAATGGCTTCTCGTTCCACGGTTGGAATGACTGACGGTGCCGAGACATGCATCCCAGCACCGGTTGTCTGCATGGTTGGAAATCCAATAAAAATACGGCCCCCAGGCTTCTTATTCGGCAGAACGGAAGCGAAGACATCTGTGGCCTGCACAAGGGCGGAATCAGTAGCGGAGCTCCCAGACGCCCCAGCCTCGTCATATGACGCTGTGAGGACGGAAATCTTGGTTGTCTTCGGCGGAAGCTTCTTGGTGGCTCTCTCGAGTTCAGACGCAAAAGAAGACGACACATTGGTCCGTATGGCGGCGGAAGTGGCGCTCAAGAATATTGTAGATGTATTCGGCTTGGTGACATCCTCGGCAATTTGTGGCTGCACCAGATTATCCTCGCTCTGCGCCTTTGAGCGCAACCCGGCCTGTGAGGCAGTCGCAGTTAGCCGTGCAAAAAAGGATCGAAGAGACGGTGCTTCGCTTGAGCCGTATGAATCTGGATTCTTTGCATTTGACGCCGTGGTTTGCGGTTTCCACCCAATAACACTCATGTATGAGGCATCTATTTGAGTTCTGGTCCGGTCAACGCCAATGATCTTCATGAGGCCTTCTTTCGTCCTCGCTTCCAGGTCTCGAGGCAATGACAGGTCTGCTGGAGGGGAAGATTTCTTCTTCAAGGATAATATTTGATAATCGTCAATCCAAAACTCAATATTTTGCAGAGCCACAAAGGTCAAGCTCGTGGCAAGAAACTGGCCAACTGAGAGGAGATTCGGTAAGGGGGTCGTTGTGTTCCTGTAATCCAGTACAAAGGCAGTATTCCTGCTAGCCTTGTCGTCGGGCAGTTGAGACTTTTTCGTGAAGAGAGAGTTACCCTTCCAGTAGAACGCCATGGCTTCGCTTCCGGAGCTCACAAAGGGCTCTTCGCAATCAGCAAAGACGCTGTAGAATCCGACGCCGAATGCTCCGATCTTGGTTTCGTCGGGGTTTCCCTCTGCAATCCTCTTCAACCGACCCCAGTCTGTTTTTGTAAACGGCTGGCCATCATTTTGCACGATTAGGCGCCGCAAAGTATGGTTTGCTATGGCATGTTTCAGCAGTTCGGATCGATTCGTCGTATTCGGCAAGGGGACTTGGATGGAGGGGATGGTTTCCCATTTCACGATGACGGTTGTGGCCTGAGCGTCGGCGGCATTTTGGATAAGTTCTCGTAGGGTGGTCCATTCGCCAGAATATCTGGCGAGGACCTTGTCTATCAGAGCGCGGGTATCGACGGTGACTGCCTCTTCGTCTTCTCCGTCCCGCAAGGCCGCGGCACGAAGGCTGGAATAGTCCATGTCGAGTTGCACCGGGGATGTGTGTATTCAGTTCTATATCATGGCGACGAGGATAGTTGTCCGTTGGTTTTGGGGGTCGTGTTTGGAACAAGCCAGTGGCGAGAATGCCAGGCAGAGAGAGGGTATACGTATCAGTCGACGTCACCCACCAGACCACCTTCTTATGCCGGTTAAGCAGAAATATATGGAAAGATGCAGAACGCAGACGATGCTGGACCAACGAAGACAAGAGTCGCACGCTACTAATGCTTGCGAACCTATGGTCGGCAGGTCTTTACGGAGGCAACCGTTTGGTCTCCTGCTGGTGTGCTGTTGGCGTCGAGATGAATGAGCCAACATTGAATATGGAATCTAGTGCCCATCGCCCAGCCAATGCCGCCGCCCGCTGCAATATCCCTCCGGCTGCAAGTGCTTCGGCTCCGTGGCGAGCGGGTCCAATGACATGGAGCACTAAAAGCCCCTTGTTGCCCCTTGTTGGAGTCAGATCTCAGGGGACAATGTTCTGGTGCATCGGGAAGGTGCAGTGGAAGCATTTCAGGGGTGGACCAAGGCCGCCATTTGACGTGGACTTCAGCTTGGAACATGAGAGTTACCCAGAATACGTATTCAAACTCGACTTTTTGCTGCAACTATCCAACTCCCGATGCATTCTTCGATGAATATTTAAACTTGTTTATCCACCCTTCCATGCCGAACACTGGCGTTTGAAACGCCTGTCAAGACACTTGCCTTCTCCTGCCTTCAACCAAAACAACGGGGCCGTGGTAACTGTGCCGTCCTTGAGACGCATAATACGCCATTGCAATAATCAGCGCCGAAACAAATATTGGCGATGCCCAGTTAAAACCAGGTGCAGTAACCGGATACACCTGTGGCCAGAAACACCAGAAGAAACCCCACGAAGTTGTAAGCACCGCAACTGCATTGATAGGCACTCCGTATCTTCCCAGAGAAAAATAAGCGTAGGGTAGTGTCTCGGGGTGGCAGATCCGTCGATATAGCATGCACCCAATGCTCAGCGAGTAGCACTGCAGCAGGGAAACAATGCAGAGAGAGGTGAGGGCGTAGAAGGCGACTGGACTTCCAATGTAGATAAGACTAAGACACGCACTCACGCCCGCCGAGAGAATGCAAGCATTTGTCGGAATGCTTCGCTTCTCGTCGACTCGCGAGATCCACCACGAGAAAGGGATTCCTCGGTCGCGCGCAAACGCAAATAGGTCACGGCTGACAGCGGTCAAGTACGACAGGTTGCCAAACATGAGGAGAAGCACAATGACGACAAGCATAAAATTCAGCCACGGCAGTGACATTGACCGTCGGAGAACGTTAGATTGCCGGATACGTGGTGTCATCGCTGAGCGCATCCGTCACATTTGATATGTGGTACGAAAGAGTAACCAGTGTGACAAAGGTCAGCGTAAAGTTTATGGCAAAAGTTATAAGCATAACTTTGGGGATGCTCTTCGCTGCATCCCTCACTTCTTCCGACATGTGTGCCGCCTGAATGAGTGCAGTGGTTAGATACTGGTGGCTGAATGAATGATCGAGGCTGACTCCGGGACGACATAATTACATACCGTATCAACACCAACATGCCCTGTGATTCCGGGCAACTGGCCAATCAATATGGCCAAGGACAAGCTTGGCCAACCTCCGTTATTTTCAAAGCCCGACCAAACTCGACTCGAGTCGACTCTCGGAGCGTTGACCCAGACGGGAGCAAGAAAACCAAAGTAGGCCAAGATGTGGACAACAAAGACTATATTTTGCCAGTATGGCAGCAGCCTGGCGGCAAAGACGTTGGCACAGAGCGCAATAGCCGTGATGGCCATCACGAGAAGTGTTCCATGCCAATTAGCTGGTGAGTAGGTGTTATCGTTTATTGTGATGATGCTCTGGATAAGTGATCCCACGATAAACAGGCCTTGAGCGTTGCCAGCCTGCCAGGCAAGCGTCGAGGTCCATCTGTGTTCTGTATTAGAGGAGGCGCCCGCCCGTCAGAATGGACCATGGATAGGAAGTGCTTTCTCACCCCGTCATGTAGCTCAAGATCTTTTGGTACCTGTCTGGGGCAAACTCGCTGACCCAGTGATACTGAGCGCCAGCTATTGGCGCAATACTGGCCATTTCAGCCATGCTGAGATAGACTGGGACGAAACCAACGAAATTCCAGAGAAAGCCATATACCAGAACAGGCCGACCGCCGTCGGTAAGGCCTGGTGTGATTCCAAATAGTGACAGCTCCCATGCAGAGGTGGCGAGGGCGACAAATGATACCATGGACCACGAGCGGAAATGCCGAACCAGTTCTTGGGTTCTACCCATTCGCCGCATGTTACGGGCATCTTCACATGTCGACCTGTGTCGCTCATCCAGTTCCCCCATGCCAATCTCTTGGTCATGACCAACACAAGCGTGGTTCGTTTCCATGATGCCGGGCTTGGACATTTCGCGAGACCGGCCTGACGAGCTCATGACTTTGAACAGGAGCTTCGCTACTGTCGTGTTGAAAGCGTCAAGTTTTACCTGACAATATACATGCAAGCGGTGATGTACAAAACCGACAATAATCACACGGATGAAATGCGGGCGACCAGGGAACAGAGTCCAGACACGAGGAGTAGAAGTAAGAATTGGAATATTGACCAACACAAATTGAGCGAACGGGGAAGAAACTGGCCATAAATTGTTCATTGGAGGGCATCTCTTCTTGGAATAGCATACCATAGTAACCCTGCCATACGTAACTAGTATTTGGAAACAAAACATGGTTGGTCGACACAATGTAGCAGCCATGATTGAGAGTCGATGTTAGTCCGTTGTCCGCCCAGAAATGCAACATTGAGCAGGGTTTCTATCCAACACCTGGTTCTAAAACCTCGTCTAATAATTGCGTCGGAAGATTGTGCGGGTGAGCGACTGGGGAACCCTTGTTCCTTCCTGGTCACCTGCCCGGGTCAAGCCAATCTTTTCTACGGACATCTGCGCCCCTCTCTGCCCCCTGATCTCCATGATGCTCTCCATTACCGCATTCTTCGTCTCGACGCATGGTGAAGCGGGCTCGGTAGCATCATCTCATCAGATCATGGATGCCGCGTGGCGCCACGACGAAACAGCTCTAAACCTTTTCGACGAGCCGCCGCATCAAGTCCTGATACACATGTACGCAAAATAGGTGCATTCTACCGAGCATGTACTTCAAGCATGGAACAGTGTTGAAGACTATTATTTCATGACGCTTCTTTTGACTGACTGAGAATAGAATTCAAGCTTCAGAAGCTGCATAGAATTGTCTATTCCTGGCGTGCCAACGACGCCATGGGAGCCTTCAGAGTACATTACGTGATGGGCCTGTAGACGAGCAGCCGACGGCCCAGTACTTGTCGCCTCGAGATTCTACAAGTCACGTACGACACTCCCAATAGATGCCAAGGAGGCATATGAATAGTTTCAAGTCCAACAGACCCCCAGTCCTTTGTCTATCAGGAATCTGCCCATCAAGCTGTCCCTCGCCATGACTGGAGACTCGACAGCTGCAGAGTCAAAATGTCGGCATAGAGCCGAGCAAGTGTTCCATCCCGGAAGAGAAGGAGGTTGCAGCGAGCCGCGCCGCGCTGGAATTCCATCCAATCGGTTCGTTGGGCGATCCTCAAACAATGGTACGGTGTATCTCTGCCGCCCCAATGTGACGGCACGTTAATGCCGCTGCTTTGCCCTGCAGATGATTGTACGATAATGGTGCCAAGTTCTCTTACATAGATAGTGACCTTCTCCCCGGGGTCGAACTCGAGCCAAATGCCCCTCGGGAGTCTACAACCATGGCTGAGAATCATGGGGCCTGGCTTATTACTGCCATAGCCATATTTTTGCCGTGGTCAACACTGACATTTTGTGTTCGGGTATGGGCAAAGCTCACGTCAAAGGACTGGGGCCGGGATGACTACTGCATTTCCTATGCCTTGGTGGGTTCTCAATTTGACAAACACATCCAACCATGATCGTGCTAAAACGCCGCCCTGCTAGGCTTCTGCTCTCGCACATGTTGCAGTTACCTGCGACGCGGTTCAACATGGATACGGCCTCCCGAAGGCTAAGATTGGGGACCCTAATTTAGGACAACTCAAGGCTGTATGGTGCCAACCAAGGGCCAAGAGCTCAACTAGATGCTGAAACGATTAGTAGGCACTCTATGCTAGCCAAATCCTCTACATCCTCTCCGTCGGACTATGCAGAGTATCAGCCGCGTTTTTCATAGCCCGCATGACCTGTTTAGGTCCTCAAGCCAAACCAGCCTATGTGATTGCCACATCCTCGTCCTTGTGGATATTGATTTCCGTGCTCGTCATTGCGCTCAGAGGACCTTTGGGCAGTCCATGGGAAGTGTTGGAAGGTACTACTAGCACACTAGTAAGGCATACTTTCGGCCATGACGCTTCGCTTTTGCCTTGAAGACTGACCGACTGAAGCATTCTCGTTGGATAGGAGTTGAGGCCACAGGAATAGTCATCGAGCTGAGTCTCTGGGCCCTATCTATACATCTCGTATGCAGCGTTCAAATGAGGGTCAAGAAGCGTGCCTTTATTATATGCGCGTTTGGCGCTCGGCTCGGGTATGAATAGATTTTTCATGGGCGTTGGCGAAGCGACTAACAGTTTGCAGAACTATCCCCATAATAGTCTGTCGTGTCCTATGCATGGCTCCGCGAGAAAATGCCGATCCTATGCTGGCGGGGATGGTTCCCAGCGTACTTACTCAAGGAGTCATTCATTTTTCTATAATGGCGGGATGCATAACGTGCCTGAGACCCTTCCTCCGAACTTTCAACGCCACTTATACTGTCGAAAGCAGAGGAACGGCGGCATGTGGTGATGGCAGAGGACGAAGCTCCTACTATTACAGACTCGAGACGTTCAAAAAGGTGGAGCGGAACGCGATTGACTCTAACGATTCAGCGAACTGGCGGCTATATGAAGGACACGCGGTTGTGTACCCTGCTGAGCCCCATTTTGGGACGAAGGACAATAGTATCTCGCGACACGTGAACAGGAACCCGTGTGTTCGACTTCGCGATCAGGTGATGGCCGACAACGCTAATAGCTTGCATCATTCGGTTATCCAGAGACCGACGGAACTATCGTTACGCGACGAGATAGAAGTTTGATGGCGCAAGAACGTAGTATGAAGATCAGAAGGGAGTCTGATTACTCCCAAATCGGCGCTGCAGGCGTTTGGTTGTTGGTTCAAATTTATCATAAATGGGTCCGACTCAGTATCAGACCATCTACCATGCGTCTGTCCGAAAAGCGTACCCGTCATCCATTCTTCCTCTGATGATCTAGTCATCCTGTCGTGCTGGCCGCGGGCTTTGGCTGCGCTCTCTGTGATGATCTCTGCGCCTACCCTCTTGTCGTCTTCTGTCCCTGCTATGATAATCTCTATCCTCACGGCGATAGCGCCTCTCCCCGCTTCGGCTTGAATTCCGCTCTGGCCGGGGCGGCCTCTCGTCTCGATCATGCCCACGTCTGTCGCGGCTTCGGTGTCGTCTCGACTCCCGATCTCGACTACGCCTTCTCCTGCGCCTCTCATCATCCCGACCGCCATCCCTGTCCCGGCTTCTACTCCGATGTCGCCGTCTCCCCCCCCTCTCCTCATCCTGTCTTCGTGATCGCTCTCGCTTGACCTTCCCATCACCATTCTCCCCAGGGGGTGGTCCACTCCTGGGCCCAATTTGTCTCTGTTGCCCAACATCCACCGCATTCGCACCGCTCGTGTTCCTCTGTGGTATCGGCAACCCCAACGTCCGCGCAATCGCATCCTCCTCCGCCTCCTTTATCCGTCGCAGCTCCTCTTTGCGTTCTCTTGCTAGTCGCTCCTCGTCTGTCTCTGCTGAATTAGCAGGCGTGTCGTCGGCCTTTGCGTACCAGTTTAGATCTCTGCCTTTTTGCCATCGACCCACGGGTGCCTTCAGGCTGTGACCTAGGTAGTTCTCGCGGTGGGACGAATTAGCGACTTCGTCCCAGGAGAAGTTGGCGCCGCCGCGGGAGCCTGTTTTGCGGATCGTGTTTAGGAGGTCCATTTCTCTCGCTGCAGCTTGGCGTATTGATACTTGAAAACCGGAAAGAAGTCTGGTTGAAAACGATTGACGACTTCAGGAACTTCTTGTCAAACTGCAAGCCCCACCAGCAAGCAGCCGGGTCCACTGCAAGCACACCCCCCCTTCCCCACCTTCCTTCGTGTTAGGGCGATCCGATCATTTGATTGACATCCAAAGCTTCCCCGGGCAACTTTAACGTCAACCTCCAAACCTCCATTTAAACTGCTGCTCACGACTTTGCACGTTTGTACCCACCATGGTCAATCCAAACGACCCCCCGCTAGATGAGATCCAATGGCGGTCTCCCCAAATCCTCGCCAGCATGGGCGGCCTGCACTCCAACACAATCCTCTTCTACTTCGCCGAGTCGCCATTCTTTGAGCGCACGTCCAACAACGCCGTTATTACCAGCCAGGCCATGAACAACATCGCCATGTACCACTATATCCAGACGCGCGAGGCATTCGAGGGCCGCTTAAAGACCATGTCGGGGCTGGAGTTTATCGTCGGCGAGGAACCTGCCGAGACAGGGCCAGGCATGGGCACCGGTGTCTGGGTGATTCGCAAGCAGACGCGGAGGAAGCGCTATCAGGAAGAGGACGAGATCACGGTCCATGCGTCATTCTTTGTGGTCGGCGAGAATATTTACATGGCACCTACGCTGGCGGATATCCTGGCGTCAAGAATCGTATGAGGGCGCAAGATCACTGGCATTTCTGGGGTTTGGATCGGCTCGCTGACTAGGACGCAGATGACGATATCGTCGGCCATTTCAAAGGCCCTCCCGGCAGCGGAGAGCCTGCGTAAATGGCGCCCGGCATTGGGTCACGTATACCAGCTTCCCGCGAATCAACCTGCCGCCGGCCGCGCCAAAGGCCAAGACTCGAAGGAGGACACACCGCTACCAGACACCGCGGCCAAGCCTGCTGCCACGACGCAAAGGAACGACGAGGTGCCGATGGAGAGGGCAGCAGAGGAGGCGTTCATGGCACACATGCGACATGGGGGCGAGTACATTGACGAAAATGCCATTACGGGACGACCAGGTGAATTCCACCTTTCATCAACGGGCAGAAAGGTGGTTGTGCCTCTGCCGAAGAAGGGGCCGGAAGGCGTCGGCGCTATGAACGGCCCGGCGGCCATCAGCACAAAAGTCGATGCGAAGAAGGATGGGAAGTCGGGGCGGACGCCGAAATCAGCTTCCACGCCTGGCAAGTTGAAGAGGAAAAGGAGCAAGATGAGTGCTGCAAATACTCCAGTGGCCACGTGAGCCGTTTTTACTCGGAGTGTTGGTTGGCTCTGGGGGACGGAGAAGGTGTTTTTATTTTATGCCTAGAATTGATACCCTACATTGCTGATGGATAGACTCGAAAACATTTGATGATTTCAACACTTTCTCCGCCGTCGTGCTCTTGAACCACTGTCTAAAATTGCCACAAGACTACCAAACACCATGTTCAAAGTGGTCCGAGATGGTTTATATATTCAAAGAATGTTGTCATCATATATGACATCCAGCTGCTACTCTACAATCCATCCCTTCCCAGGGACCTTCTTCTGCTTCACCTTCTTCGCAGGCAACGGCCAACCCTGTCCTCCTGTATTCTCCGCTCTCAGATAGGGGATGACCCAGCACTCTCTAGTCATAGATCCCTCTCCCGACGCAGCCGGCGGCTTCACCTCCTTGATGGGCTTGCCATAGCTAAGCAACGGTGTTCCCTTGGCCAGTCCTGATAATTGCCCACCCGTAACGTCTGTGAGGGCGTGCATACGCGTCTTGGGCTTCTTCGACGCATCCAGGCCGGATTGTGTAGTTCGTTGCAGGTAGGAGTAGACAATGTATTCGGGACACTCTTGGGTGCTACAATGTGCAAGGGGTGACGTAGGATGGATATATACCAAGCTGTCGTGTTCGGGCCCCTGAACGGCGTGAAGGGGCACAAGAGGGATATAAGGCACATCGATTGCTCGTTTGGGTTTTCGATATTGTTCAGGGGGTGCAGGGGCCAGGTCGGCTCGGATTGCAACTTGGTCAACGAAGCCCGCGGCCGCCATCTGCTTCAGGGCACTGACTTGTTTCGAAGTCGGCGGGTCCAGTTTATCTTGGAACTTGAGATTTGCGAATGAGGGTATGTTGTTCCGCAGAAGCTCCGTGATTTGTCTTCTCAGCTGCTGGATCTCCTTGAGAACCTTGAACCGAACAAAATGCTTCTCGCACCATTCTTCAGTAGGCTCATGCGCAAACTCGCCAACTACCTGCAACAGCTTGATTGCGTCTGATTTATCATCCAGGTAGCAAAAGTTTTTGTGCACCTCGTTGAACACCCGACGCACATTTGCCTGCCGGTCTTCAGCAATGATGTCGGCAGTTGTGCGGATCTCGACGTCATTCTTGGCCGTCAGTGCAGGGATTGCCTGAGCCTCCGGGAGGAAAACTTCAGCAGCAGAGAGACCAGCAACCAACGCAATCGTGTAAGGAAGGCAGTCGTGTAAATGGCCGACTAGAAGGATCTTTGCAAATCGCGGTGCAAGTGGGAAGACAGACATTGTCTTGCCGATTTGTGTGATGTCGCCTGACGGTGAAAGGGCGGACAAGTATGTAAGGAGCTTCTCGGCCTTGGCGAGACTCTGTCTTTCTGGAGGAGTTGGGAAAGGAAAGTTGACGACATTTTGAAGATTCATGGACTTGAGCTGTAGCACAATGCCCTCGATTGGCATACGAAGAAGCTCGGGATCTGCAAACTGCTGAAAGTCTCGCTCATATACAGCCGAGGAGTATAGCCGGTAGCAATGGCCAGGCCCTGTTCGACCAGCACGGCCAGACCGTTGATTTGCACTAGCTTTACTGATCCAGCCGATTTCGTAGCTCTGCACTCCACTTTGGCGATCATATTGTCGCTCCTTGGACCGGCCACAGTCGAAGACGAATCTCGTTCCCGGGATGGTCAAACTGGTTTCTGCAACGTTGGTAGCTAGGATAACCTGACGCGTGCCGTCCGGCGCAGACTCGAACACCCGGAGCTGTTCTCGCGTTGGTAATAACGAGTACAGCGGCAAAATCTGCATTTTGAGTGGTGCTGCTTCTTGGTCCTCTTCGATCTGGAACTCCTCCTCGTCCTCATCGTCCGATGGCAAGCCTCCCATTTCATCCCCATAATCATCAATATCACCGAACTCGATATCTTCAACCTCCATAGGGGCCTCGCTTGCTGAGATCTTCACTTTAGGTCCCTCTGCTGAAGTCATGCCTCCAAAGGCCGCTTTCAACCTCTTACTCAATTGCAAGATTTCATTACGCCCTGTAAGAAATACTAGGAACCCGCCGGGAGGGAGCTTTCGATGACCCCGCGTAATTTTTCTGAATGCCTCCTCGACATAGTCATGGTGCGTCTTCCGTGCAAAGTGAATGGTAACTGGGTGTTGTCGCCCTTCAACCTCAAGGACAGGCGGTGGCGTAGGAAACAGCATTGAGTTCATTGTCAGGTCCTCTATTCTGAGAGTGGCAGACATGATAATGAGCTTCAGAGGCTTGACTGTGGGGTCCTCCTCTGACAGCTCAGTGCGTAGCTTGATTACACGACTCAGCATACCAATCAAGATGTCAGTATTGACGCTTCTTTCATGAGCTTCGTCAATAATAATGGCAGAGTATTTCCGCAAGGTGATGTCTTGAGCAATTTCTCTGAGCAGGACGCCATCAGTTAAGAACTTAATGGCGGTTTTATCAGACACTGTGCCCTCAAATCGAATCTGATATGCCACAGATCCAGAATGGTCACCCAGCTCCTCTGCCACTCTTCGAGACATAGATACCGCAGCAACTCGTCTTGGTTGTGTGACAGCCACCATTCCTGGGGTTGGTGAATCAGGAGAACCATAGCCTGCTTCGTAAAGAAACTGAGGGACTTGTGTAGTTTTTCCTGAACCAGTCGCTCCGCAAATAACGACAATGTCATTATTGTGAATAGCCTCCATTAATCGCTGTTCTTCCGATACCACTGGCAGCTTCATGCGAGCTTCTTGTATTTCTGGTGATCTTGTCACAGTTACGCTAAAAGCTTTTCTTGAATCATTCGCAGTAGGCTGGAGCTCCATGGGAAGAGGGTCCTGTTCTGGTGCTCTGGGAACAAAATTTTCGGGTTTTGGTACCTCTGACGGGCCGATAGTGACATCAGTTGGTTGATAACCCAAGGCCTCATTTCGCTGTTGAAGAGCCCAAGCTTTGAAGGCAGAAGATCGTTGCGCAGGCTGTTCAGCGTCATCGTCTTTTTCGCTTCCCTCAGACTCTTCGTGCCCCTCACTATCGTCACTGGTCTCTTCCTCAGAGCCTGTATCGTCATCGACTTCGGATTTACTGTCCTCACCCGGTTGGGTTACATTCTTTTCCGAGGTCTCATCATCGCTGTCAAAGCCACCCCATTCCTCATATTCCAGCTCATTCGGTTGTATGACCTCGATAGTTCCCGTAGATGCTTTTGTTCTAACTCCTCCCCGTTTCTGTTTCTTCTTGATGACTGGCTTCCCTTCATCGTCTTGTTCCAACGGTCGCTTCAAGCCGGATCCAATGACTTCTGTGTCAGGGATCCGTACGAGTTGTCTGGGAACTTCTGAAGGTGTAATCGACTTTTTTATTGTGGGCTCAATTGCTAACTTGGCAGACCTTGCCACATTGCTCTCGTCAACGTCGCTTTCGTCATCCTCGAGTTCAATTGGCTCTTGTCTCTTCTCCAACAGAATCTCGTCGTCACCATCTAGGCCAACTCTTGACTCCCTCAAGGCTCGCGACAAAGCTTGCTTCTTTGTTTCTTTCCCTTGTCCCAGAGAGCGACTGCTAGAAAACAACGATGTGTCGATGCGGCGTGCGGCCAGTTTGGCGAGAAGTTCTCGGTTTTCGTCTTTTCGCAATTTATTTTCGATGTATTTCTCGAGTCGCTTCGCCTTTTTGCCACTAACTTTAACTCCATCTTGTCGCAATTCCTCTTTCATCCGAGCCTTCTTTTCTTGCCGCTCAGCCTGTGTTGCTGGAAGAACCTCCTGGTTTGTGTCGCGCACTTCATGCTGGGCAGTTTCTTTGGCCTTTTGTCGGGCAAGCACCTTGTGCTTCCTCTGACGGGGTACAAACTTGGGCATTGTGCTCTAATTGTATCATGGGCGGGCCATGATGTAGAATTTTGCTCGATCGCACTGCTGCTTCACAACTGCCAAAAAGTGGCACTTGACCGAGCAAGTATGCTTTTGGAAATTTTGGCCCCGAGACAATTGTGTCACGACTCACCGCCAAAATCTCGATCCGTTTCGAGACTAGCGCGGGGCTGCCACATCCATGTCATTTCGGCACTACCTGGAAACCCTCCAACACTCTTGTCTTCAGTCAACGCCTCCATCAGCAAACATATCAAGACATGGCAGGGCTCGTGGAAGCAAGGGGAGATGCATTTCCTGTGCCTAGTCGACAAGCATCAGGCACTGTCAACGGTGTCAAAACCGAAGTCACCTCTTTAAGCTTCGGCGATAAACTCATGGTGACGATAAGCCAGGAGGGTCGGTTAGCACAATGGGTGCGTTTATTGCTCAATGCTGACCAACAATTGAAGTCTAATGCCTCACAGGTTCAAGTCCCACTAGTAGGCTCATCGGCTGGTGCGGTAGAAATGACCTTACCCAGCGCAGGTCATGGGCTCCTACCGTCAACTCATCTTACGCCAACGACGCTGTTGGGCGGGGGCGGCGAGGATCGAGAGACCCTTGGCCAGCTTTATGCCGCTCAGATTGCCAGTCACTTATCGCTCAAATATCCCGATGATAGGAGAACGCTTGTGCTTGGATTAGGGCTGGCGAAATATGATATCGAGCGTGAAGCATTCTTCGACCTGTTTGAGCTGGCTCAAAAGATTCTGTAGCGCCACTGATCAGCAAATTGTACACCGAGTGCGCCGTGGCGCGATTATGGATTCTGACACGCATCCTCGCATCACCACATCGGGCCGCCAAAGCTATTAAATAACGAGTTACACTACAGGAATATTCCAAGACTTCCTTTGCATACACGCCTTTGTCTGATCGCGATGCTTTACTTATCGATTCTAGCCCCTTGTGACAAATGGAAAGTGGTTCCGGTGGCGAAAAGAACATGACCTAGAACGGCCCATATCGTTCGATTGCTGCGCTTGTCTTTGATGGAACTTTTGTGATTGGCACTCTATAACTTGATCACATTTCTCATTGTTGGTTCGGCGCGAACAGTTGTGGCTTATGACAGACACAGGCCCATTGTCCACCGAGGATGGAGCACCACCCCTGGTATTGGCGTGAGCCCTGACGCTGCGACTCTCTTTGACACCAGCTGTTGTAGTACTAACTCGAGTACTCAAAATTTCAATCACCTCGACCAATACTAATGCACTGGCATGCTCAATACTCCGGACTGTAGGGCTGAGCTGTCACTGCTACAACCGGTGCTACCCTTTTCGTGCCTTTATGACGTTCAGAAATGAGACATCCGGATCCTTGCCCCCGAATCCCTGCTCAGCTTAAAAACAAAGGGACTCGGTAAATTAAACACCAAATTAACGGCCTAGGCAGACATAACGACAAAGCGGAGCAAATACCGGGTGACCAGGCCGCGGCCGCGGCTAATGGATGGGCCGATGAGAAAAGAGCAAATAGCGATAGGGCAACGCTTACGACTGGTTAGTACAGGCGATGACAGGTCACTGTTTTTCTTTTTGGTACCTGAAAGACCAGTCAGACACAACGTGTAACTTGAAGGGGGAAAAAGCAAATCTTGCATCACCGCTCACCAACAGCTTGGGCCAAAAGAAAGCCATGTGGCAGCACAGGGGTCACAACGACATCGGGGGAGTTCCGATCGCCCAAGCTCCTCAAGACACACTACATAATATTCCGATTGCAAGTTCCGTCGCTGTGCCTCAAGATCGTTCGGATCGCACGTCTGAGCGAATACATGAGAGCGTAGAGTTTGATAAATAGCCGGCGTCGATGAGAATTCCATTTCAAAGGCTTTGAAAGCCAATGGGTGTATCATTTACTTCCCTTGACGATATCGAGCACGTTCTGCTGTTTCAGGCGAAGTTTACGAAGGCTGCCCTAAGCGTGTAGTTACAAGTCAGAGACTTATGTGATCCAACGTGAACAAATCAGCTTGTGTGTTTCAGTTAATCACCAACCTTCCAGTATGACAACCACATCGGACGCAGTGCCGCCCTTATCTCCAGCCTCTTCAAGGTATGTACATATTCTCGAGTGCTCTCTGGCGCAACCCCCTGCATATGGCTGATAGCCACAGTGACCTGAGCTTGGAAGAACCGGAACCCCATCTGTCCGCAAAACCCCTGCCTGTGCCCCCAACAACCGGGTCACCTATCAAGTTTCGCAATGGAGAGACGGAGCTTCCACCGTTGCAAGTAGCTGGTGGCGATCCCGACGGACTGGATCCGATTGCCGAAGAAGAACTGGACCCAGGCAGTTTTGACCTGGTGATGCCAGTCGAACAGAATGGCAGCACCACTGGCAAATACAAGTTGGAGAAACGGTCAGAATTACTCTTCTCGAGCCGTCATCTAGAGGCTATCTTTGACGACTCGGCCGAACTGCATCGCTTTTCCCAGTTTCTGTACAAATGTCGACCGGCATCAGTTCCACTACTGACATATTTCTTGGATGCTCTCAAGGCACTAAGGGCAATCGAATATAGCAATGCTGTATTGAGGAAGCTTGGGCCATTGACCGATTTCGAATTCACTCATGAGTACTTCCAAGCGCACCCTACGTCGAATCAAGAATTAAAGACCAAAGCAAATGCGGCCTTTGACATCCTAGCTCGAGAGGATCTGCCCATGTATATCACACATGTGTGGATTGAAACCGTTTCCGTATCTATTAGGCACAGGATCATGGGCATTCCCAGTCACGCCTCGGAAGGTCTAGCAGAAGTATTTTGTCTTACTGATCCGTCAAGACACGACAACCCCATTGTTTTCATGTCGGAAGACTTTAATCGGACCACACAATACGGCGTAGACTACGTCGTTGGAAGAAACTGTCGTTTTCTTCAAGGACCGTACACAAATCCGTTCAGCGTAACGCGTATCAGGGAGAAGATGGAGAATGGCATTGAACACTATGAGACCTTCTTAAACTATAGGCGCGACGGCTCTCCGTTTATGAACCTTATTATGGTAAGGGAAATGGATGTCATTGAATCCAAGTGAGTAGACTAACTGGGTTGATGTACAGGTTGCTCCTTTGTACGACAGCCGCGGAGTGATTCGGTATTTCATTGGCGCTCAAGTTGATGTATCAGGCCTCGCTATGGGTTGCTACGATCTTTCATCTCTTCAGCGAGTTGCCGACGAAGATGCGAAGCGAGAAGAAGGAGCAAAAGTTCCAAGCAACAACAGGGACGAATTTACGCAACTAGCCGAAATATTGGGGACAAGGGAGCTCGAAATAGTCAGAGAACGCGGCGGTGAAATGCATCGCCTGCCTCTCCAATTTGCGACAGGGCTTCACTACGATGAAAAGATTTCTCTGACAAAGCCCAACGTCGACGGCGTCCGAGATAGTACACAACATGCCCGCAACAGCTCTAAAAATCGAGTTATTTTGGGAACAAGCTCAGAGGCCCAAAACACGACGCCTCCCTTGGGTGATTCAGTGCGACCCTTTAGTTCACTAACCACAGCGGCGACTCTTGCAGCGAGACATAATGGCCGTCTTACAGGTATCTATGAGCATTACCTGCTTGCCAGGCCTTACCCATCACTGCGCATTCTCTTCACAAGCCCATCTATGCGCGTGCCGGGCATTCTTCAGTCACCGCTACTTGACCGGATTGGGGGGTCGACTCGCATGCGAGATCAGCTTGTTCGAGCTTTGGCCAATGGCCAAGGAGTGACAGCCAAAGTTAGGTGGCTTACTGTTAACCACAGGAGGCATGCCAACCGTCCCTTGAGAAAGAGAAACCAAGGTGATCACCCATTGGAAGCACATTTGCGCATCGACGATCATGATGATAACGCAAACGAGGATATTGGGAGATCGCGATGGCTTCACTGTACACCACTCACAGGGTCGAACGGCCGCGTTGGGGTCTGGATGATTATTATCATAGATGAAGAGCCAGACCCCAATAGCCAACTTTCACACCACGTCGGTCATCTCGAGAAACCGCGGCCTGATAGTGCTGTGTCCGACAAGTCCGTGGGTGGCCGAAATCCGCACCGTACAAGTAACAATGGCGCGTCCCCAGCAATAACCAAGTTGCGCCCAAGAAGGTCATCGGATACTCTTGGGCTTAACCCTCCAACGACACCTTGTCGAAACGAAGACAAATCAGTGACCAAGACGATCCACCAGCAACACTCGCTCAACGCCCACCGAGCACCGAAACCTACTCTCCAGACCCTGGGTGTGGCTGCAAGGTTCTATAGTCCCGAGGCGCTGTCACTTGCCACCCAAGCCGGCTCTTCGACTCAACAACAGAGAGAGAGCAGCAGTAGCGCCAAAGCCAGTCCCGAAGACGAGCGCTCAGAAATGGAGCAGATTTGGCCCTTACCACCCTCTAGCACTGCCATATCGAGAAGAAATCGTGAGGCTTATATCAGAGTTCCGTCAATGATACGAGAGACGTCGTCGGAGCGGGCAGTAGTTTGGGGTACCAAGAGTGAAGGGGACACTGCCTCAATTAGAAGTCAAAGCTCCGCATTTACTGTGAGAATAGAAGAAGACTAAGCTGTTGGATGTGGGTGAAGCGAGAATGACGGGACTATCTGCTTGAATGCCGCACGTTCTCTTGGAGCTGTGGATGGAATTTTTCATGTTCTTAACTTGTTTTACTTTTCTTCCTTTCTTTTCTTTCTCTCCTTTCCCTTTTTTTTTTCCTCTTTTCAAAAAGGCATTATTCTTGACGGGGGAGGGTCTTAGCGGAAGGAGTGAAACGGGGAAGTGATAATTTGCAACTCAATCGGGCTGATTGCACAACGGCGGCTGGCTTGCAAACAACGAGAGTGAATCGTATTATATAGGTATGCGGCAGTACTTGGCACTATCAGAATTCCATTTGTATACACTTATCAAATCATCAATGACACTACCTCTGATTACATTGTCAATTTGCCTTGACGAGCTGGATGACACGCAGCTTTACGCCCGAGTCAGTATTAATCTCCGATTAAGTACAGTTACCGTGCCACAGCTGCAATTTCCATCATCGAGTTCTCAAGCTCTCTGCAAAGTGAACAGAAGAAAGGGTTGGTGACCTAGCAAAAGACTCTCCGCAAACCTTGCTTTGTTTCTCATCCGTACTTGCATCCACCACTTCGTACACTTGTCTGGTGGACTGACCTTGTACAAGCCCTCGCCTTCGTTTTCTTCTTCTCTCTTCCTCCTAAACAATATAAAAGCGAAGACTACTTGCTACAGCTCCGACGATGCCAGCAACAGTACTTGGTATGCCGCCGCTGCCGTCACCACTATTCCCGTGGCTCTCCTTCGAACCTACTCCCTCTCGAGAGGCTGCGCAAAAAGATCCCAGCTTGTGGTGTGCCCGTCGCCCACCCCTACAATTGCCAGCTGACCATGTCGAATTGCGTATTCGTCTGAGGACCAAGGTGTCCAAAAGATGATTACTTGGAGACACTTTTCTGCGTCGAGAACATGATGCATTCGCAGCACGGGACATGGTTTCACGAGACGGCTTCGACGGAAACCTTGCCTTTTGCTGCCCCTGCTCCACCCTCGTCATCTCGCTCGGCAGGGTCCCGGGACCGACGACCGGCAGCCAACACTTTCCGAGTAGCCAATCGCCAGCCCTTATTCAACTGAAACCTACATCAAAAATTTGAGTCACGACCCTTTGCCATGGTCACCTTGAGGTCGATGCCTTTTGCATGCAAGCCACGCATCGGGCCAACGACTGGAGGATATGAGATACGTAGTCTCTAGAGCCAGGGTTAAATTCATCCTTGTTAGATGGTCGTGACGGGGTCTCGGCCCGCATTCCGGCGTTGTGCCTCCGTGTTTCGGCGGTGGCCCGTGCCCCGGTATCCGGATATCGGCCCGGATTCGACTGCCCATTTCTTCCGACTGGGTCTGCTGGTGCCGCAGAATGCCGAGACAAGATGAATGCAGTTGCATCCCATCTAGGAAGAACTATTTAACCACGTTTTTCTAGCGAAATCACAGACCGTTTTAGTTTTCACTTGCCAAGATTCACCGAGTGCGTAGGCGCGGTAGTTCATCTGAATGGATAGCGTGTACACGTTTCAAGCCCCCAGCACGCTTCTCCGATTAACCTTTTTTTTTTTTTTTTTGGGTAACTTTCTAATTCTATTAGCTCTGTGCATATTGCGATTGCTGCGTTCGTTTCTTCTTGACAATTCAGCGTCACAACTACGACGTTGACCAGGTAGTAAATATACCGGCGTCAGCTAGTCAGACCAAGCCCAGGAAGCATTGGTTCCTCTTCATCTTTGACGTCTTCATACACACAAGTCTTTACAACCCATGCAGACTTGCCAAGCTTTCTCCGCAAGTAACTGCCAAATCCACAATCACGCTGCTCTTACAAGCGTGTCCATTTTCCTGGATTCTCAAGGAGGAGAAATGCACCATCCTGGAGACAGTGATGCGTCATGTCTTCAAAGTCTAAGCTACTGGCCCAGTCAGCAAATAAAGTTGAAGCATGCCGTGAAATGTGTATTGAGACTTGGTGTGTAGGACGCTGGGTATCAGGACATTTACTTCTTTATATAAGTTATCGGTCATCGTTTTGAATATTAATTATGCTAGGCACTAATACAACGTGCTATATATTATACCGGCATGTAAGTGCTCAAGGTGGGCTATGTCACTGGCTGTGGCGTTAACTCACGCGCACGCGCACAAAAGCGGGAGGACGTGACCGATAGATAGTCCATAACCAAACATTGACCATGTGGCATTGTATACGCTAAATATCATCTGTTTTATTGTACATACGGGCTCTCTCCAGATATCCAAGTATAATATAAAAAAGAATGATTCACACATTCTCTTATATAAGGGTCTCAAATGTCAATCTCAATAATAGGCCCTTCGTACTCTTTGTTCGCCCAGGCAAAGTAATACACGATGCTGAACAACACCATTGCGCCAGTCATGAGCGGCGCATAGTTCATGTTATCAGGGGTAACAGGCAGAACAGGCGGCCAGAAGCTGAAGAACCAAATAATAATGAGATACAGGCAGGCGAAAGCGTTATTAGCAATACCCAGAGCACCAGGAAGATGCCAAGGTCCCCAGACAAGCTCAGAACCAGAGGTGTTGGCGAGGGCAGGCAGTTCGGACGCGTCGGGCATCTTAAAGCCAGAAGTACAGCGGCGGTAGAGGAGGAGCACGGCGACGATAAGGTAGGATGAGTAGAGGCCGGAGACGGAGATGGAAACGATGCTGTTGAAGGTAGTGACAGAGCCAAGCTGGATGAGAGCGAGCAAGCAGGAGATGATGGTGGTGACGGCGATGGCATACAGAGGAACCGTGGTGCGGGAGTCAACCTGAGGGTGGTTAGAACTAAAGAGACACGACAGAGACAGGAGACAGGAAACATGGATGAGAGGGTTCTAATATACCTTGGATAGTGTGTGCCAGAATGGAAGACCACGATCACGAGCAAATGACCAAAAGACGCGAGAGGTGGAAGCCAGCATGCCCACAGTTGCGCAGATACCAAGAGCAGTGATGATAGCTGCCATGGTGGTGGCTCCGGAGATGCTGCCGGTCGAGTTCAAGAAGATTTGCATGTGTGGGAAGCCGGTGACGGAGTTGAGAAGAGAGTCAATGTCGTCACCCAGGCAAAACAGCACAGCAACAGTCATGGCAAAGCCGGTTGTGCCGTTGATTAGCATACTGATGAGGATGGACTTGGGCACTACAACAGATGGGTTGTGCGTTTCCTCAGCCATGTGGAAGGCGGCGTCGGTGCCAACAAAGGCAAAGACGTTGCCAATCATGCCGACCATGAAGGATAAGCCCTGCGTAGGCCAGTTGCCCGAGTTCAGGAAGCCGGTGAAGATGGCGTCGGTATCTCCATGGGGCGACAGGATGACGAGCGGGATGAGAATAGCGAAGAAGCCCAGGACGTGCAGGACCAGAATCAGGCCCTCGAACTTGGGCAGCGCCGAGGACACGACGGCGTTGATGAAGACGGCGAACAGGATGACGGCCCAGTAGAGCAGGGTGCCGTGCCACGGCTGCGGTGTGTAGTCGTAGTATGTGGCCGTCATGGTGATCATACCCCGGAGCATGTTGCCTGTCAGGAAGCCGCTCGAAGCCACAGAGCCCTGCCATCCGCCGACAGTGAGCCACCCTGTCAAGTAGCTAAGGAACTTGGCGCACGAGCGCGGCGCCAGCATGGCCGCCCAGTGGTACTGGCCGCCGGACGTGGGCGCCATGGAGACCAGCTCCGAGAGCGTCGTGAAGACGGAGATGTTGCCAAGCCAGACGATGATGTAGCCGTAGATGACGCCTGCCGGACCGCCGTTAGCCAAGCCCGGCGTGGAGAGGACGAGCGTCGCTTCCCAAGTGATGAGGATGGTGCAGCTGAAGCCCAGGATGGACATGAAGCCAAAGTTGCGCTGATAATGGTTGGATCACATCATGTTAGCCATTGCAAGAGAGTCGTCCTTGGAAAGATGTGCATAGTGCATACCCTGAGGACAGGCTTCTTACCCAGCCGCGCCAATTGCTGGTCATCGGTATAGTCATTGCTGGGAACTTCATCTACAACTGGCGACGAAGAGATGGCCTTGGCTGAGGCCATGTTGCCGAGTTCGTGAGCTGGTTCCGTCGACATCGTTACCAGCTATTGGAGTTGTCGTCCTGGAGAGGAAAGGAAGTATAACTCAACACATGTGGTGCTTGCAGTGGGGGGAAATTAGACAGAGATGAAATAAAACGACTAGAAGGAAGGGCAAAATATAGAGTGAAAAAAAAGAATATTGACTGGATGAATGAGGGTGTAGAAAGGTTTGACGGCAAGGTTCAGTGCAACATAAAAGGTGGTCACTGCCAGTACGAAGTACAAAAGTACAAAGTACAAAGTACGTGGACAATCAATGTACCAGGCTAGACATGTTCCAACTTGCATGTGCTCAAGTGCCTCCTTCCTCACGTTGCCGAGTGGAGCGCCGTGCCGTTCATCTAGAGCCAATACTCGATTCTGGATGCAAAAAAAGATGATGGATTCTACAGCTTGTCTGCAAGGGGACTTAAGCGGGCTGCTGCTTTGGCCATTTTCGAATTGCTTTTCTCCCCCACCCAGAACGAAAAAACGATAAACTAAAGCAATCGGGATATACGAATTCGGGTTAGTGGAAACAAGGCCTCCGAGAAGTCGGGAAGGGCACATGGACCCGGACGAGACGAGACGAAAAGTCATACACGCTCGGAAGAATATCCAGAGATGCAGCCAAGAATTTAGCCCCGCGACGAACCAACTTGGACATGGGCCGGCATGGGTGTCAAAAGTGGTGGCTTCGGCCAAAGGGGGGTCGCATCTTGAATCCCAGCAAATGGAATCCATCCGCCTTTTATGATCCTCCTCCCTTGTCACGGCTGTCGCAAATCGTCCAGGTCCAAAAACGCTGTGGCTGAACTAACTAACTACTAACTACTAGCTAGTACTTCCGCAAATGTGAGTGGTGCCCAAGAGAAGACGTGTGGCGTTCTTGGGACGGGGGATGGCCATGTCCTCA